GCAGAGTCAGGAACGTTTTCCTTCAGCGACGTCACTTCCAGTTTCCAGCAAGAGGCGCTGTTTTTGGATGGATGAGCTAGGCGAACCCAGTTGGAACAGTAATAGCAACTTTTTTAATTCAAATATCTTCCTTTTTAAACGAAAATATAAAAGTTTAGACCTGTTACAATATAAAGGCTTGTTGTGTTTTTAAAGTGGAAGATGCCCTTAAAGTGCAGCTTGTGATTGGTAAAACTGTCATTTGATTTGTGAAAACAGTGTTTCTTTCACAAATGTGGGAATAAAATTGTGTTAAAATGTAAAAAAAAAGGTTTCAACTCATTCTGCCTGGACGGGCAGCTCTCTGGGCGCTCAGCACGCCTAAACCTCTATCGCCCCTGAATTTGACCCTATATGTATGGAAATGTAAACATTTTGTTGGGGTTGTAAGATGACCCAAATTCATGAAACAAAACTGTATTTTGGCTACACATAAAACATTTTTTTAAAGATGGTAAGCCAGTTGGTTCTCATTTATTTTGTTGAATAAACAAAAATACAAACAATATTACAGTTTGGCAATGTTAAATTATACATTGGACTAATAAAGCATTTCACAAAATGCTATTAGTCATAATAAAAAGAAACTTTGTTTTTTATTTATTTTAATTACTTGAAAAGTGATGGAAATGGATGCTGATTTTGTTTTGTCATTATTGGATTTATAAAAGTCTGCTCTTACAGAGTCTTCAGGGTGAACCAAAACGGAAAAGCAGGTTCCCTGTCAGGAAATGGAGCCGCAGATGGTAAAAACCTAATTTGTGCTTGCTGCCATGAAAACTACAGCGAGCTAAAGCTTGTGCAAAGAGAAAAGGTGAGACAGCAGAGAGCATGGAGGCCTTTTAAACATGCATAAGGACGTCATAAACACCGATGCAAATGTATTTACATTTACATTTAATTTTAAGCGAAAATTGTTGAAAGTTGAATGCCGATCAGATTGCAGTTCAGATACTGACATGTCCCTGCTGTTCCGTGGACGTCCAGAAATCCTACATACAAATAAAAATACTAAAACTCCTAATGTATAAAAATATGTTTCTGTAAACCAGCAGCTTTAAATGAACCATGACACACAGAAATATAATAAAACTTATACTGAACGTTAAACAAAGCACCAGTGTTTAAATTTAAGATAATACAACAGAAAAGCTGAATAATGTTTTTAAAAAGTTTATCAATATGAGAATAATGCGAAAAATTAGAACATGGATGGATTCCTGCAGGATCAGTAACAGAGAGGTGAATGACATCCATGTAAATCAGTTAACTGCTGAACATGATGCAGTCTGATGATTTAGTGGATGCCCTTGCTTTTTTGGTTCTTGAAAGTGTGTGTGACGCAACAGCGCCCAGGTGTCCAGGTGGTCATTGAATTCTCCACAGAGGGGCATTTCCGGTTTGTGGAGGTGGAGCGAGAGAAATGATAATCTCTTAAAAACACTGAATCTGCTTTAATACTGCTTCAAAACAGATTCAAATGAGAAGGGGGGAAAGTCCAGAAACCTTGACAAGACATGAAAAGCTTTCTTTTTGAACCCAAATGCAATTAAAATATTATAAAAAGAAACAAAAACATCTTAGTCTTGGAGCTACTTTGATTTATTTAAGGTATTTGGCCCCAAAATGAATATAAAAAAAAACTAACTTGAGTAAAGAACAAATAACGTGTGCTGAGATATGAGCATAGATGGTATGTTTAGATATATGTGAAAACCCCACAAATAACTCTGGAGATGTGTGGGCAGGAGGAGAAAGAAGCTCTCCCACGTAACAAAACTAATTGCTTTCCTCCAGCTCTGGCATGAAGTGGAGCTTTTTACAGTTCAAACTATCAGCAGGATAGATTCAGGGAGCATGGGCGGATGAAGTGGGATAGTTTTTTTAGCCCTGAGAGGAACTGCTGCCAGATCCTGCTCATAAAGAGATTTAAACATTAAAAATGTCTTTGTGGTGATTATGAAGGGATTAAAAATCTTTTGTTTCCTTCATTTCAGCTTGGAAGAAGGATGGCAGTGTCTGGTGTCAAGCTGGACAGAGAGACAAAAAGAAAAGGAACAAATCAATATGACCTTCCTGTGTTTAAGAGAAGCCGATTCAGGATTTAAACATCCTTCTCTCTGCAGCAGAGGGAGTTTAGATGCTCATTTTTGAATAGTATAGCTTACTTTTTATGTTAATGCTGTTTAATATGGTCTGAATTCAAAGTCCCTAAGGCAGCATGAAGCTACAGGGATCCAGAGCATGGGGTCTCCTGCCCTGAAGGATGGATCCTAATCAGATGCACCTCAGGAGCAACACCCCCTGGACATGATGGAGCTCCTCATCTTATCTCTACGGGATTTAAGACATTTTTATTTTAGTTACGATCCAAACCTCATGTCTGCTGTAGATGGTTGACTTTAAGAGCTTTTCCTTTTGGCTTAGCTCCTTTTTTACCACAGCAGGCCAGAAATACTTCCTGACAGCTGTGGATGAAACCCAGTTTGTTTGGGTTTTCTCTCGCTTCGTCCCATCATCTCTTATAAGATATGTGATCGCTTCCGCTTAAGGCAAAAACTCCCTCCCTACTGACTCTGTTCTGTCGTCAGTGAGTCAGCCAGTGGGAGGAATCACCCTTGAAGCATCACACACAGCAGGGATAACAATAGAACAACTTTTACTGACAAAGACACAAAACACAGCTCTGAGCTTTGCTGTTGTCTTTCAGAGCCGAACAAGAGTTCAGCTTGTCAAGCAAATACTCAGCTAAGTGGAGATCTGTCACAAAAAAGGAAATAGGAATTGTGGCGCAAATGTGACGTTATCCACAGATGGAGCTCCTGATCAGAAGGTGCAGTTCAGCCATCAAGATTGGTGTGCCAAGGAGAAATGCATCACCCGATTGCTCTTCATGCCAAATCATGTGAATTCATTAAAGCTGGAAAATCATCAGATATATCATCTTGTATCTCATTGTTTTTTGCTTTTTGATTTTTTTTTCATCACAGAACCTGTTCCGCACCAACCTCTGAACTGATCCGTTAGTTTGACTCGAAGGAGAAACAAACAATTCTGGTTCCTACAGACCATGACCGTTAAAAGTGCTATTCTTATTCTGAAAATGCTCTTTAAAATGACACGTTTGTGTAATACATCCTTCTGTGTGTTTCCATTTAAAGTGGCATCCCCTTAGCACGCCCGGCGCACGATTACCGAGCTTACTCCCTCCCACGTGTGGTTTGTCATTGAGGTGTAGGATGGTGACAATACACGTAAATGAAAAATGTATAATTACAGTACAAATGTGACGCAAGCCACAGAGGGAGCAGTCTATGAACAAGAAGATGCATTTTAGCTACGATAAAAACAATGTGCCAGAGTGAAACCACGTCACACAGGCTGCAGTTTGTTAAAAATGTTACTTTTTTTTCTTGGCAAAAAAAAAAACAAAACAATTGGCTAACATGCGTTGTAAAAAGCTTTTTTTTTAGATTTGCCGGCATCCACTGCTTCTTTTCTTCAAGAGACACTCAGATGTTGGCAAAAGTATCACTTTGAGCTTATTGTCTTTATTTAAAAAACAACAACTATTAACCTTTAAAATAAAAAACATTTAATGGTTGTCATATTTTGGTGTAAATGTCAGAAATGTGACTCAAACTTAAGTTATTTTTCTGCTTTTATTTTAATCTTAAGGTATATTCGGATCAGCAGAAGCTAGTTTCATTCAAGCAGCTCAGTTTGCTTTTCCAAAATAGGTATTGCTCCCAGACGAGTCGGAAGTGAGTCATTTCTTCCATCCTTCCACTCGTTTGGCAGGTGGAGGTGGTTAACATTCAGCACCCACCAAACAGAGAAAGCACCAGCCACAGGCGAGCACGTGGGGCTTTCAGATAAAGTTTTTCTTTAAACACAAGAACGAAACAAATCTGGTGCAGTCCACAACATCTTTGATGCTTGTGCTTCTTGGTTAGAGCCAAACCTGCCTCCATCTGGGAATACAGTCCCTCCCACATGCCGTTTGTCAGCGATGAGTAGGCGGGTGTCAGTACTCCATCAGAACAAACTCATGGAAACGTCCTCAAAGCAAACGTGACATCTGCAGCAGATTCTCAGATCCTATCTTGCTTCTGACATTCATTTTCTGACATAATGCTTCCAGTTTAATCTCAAATCCGGTCTGGAGAGTTGAAAACAATGTTATGTATATTTATTTTAATTTTTGAAAAACTCATGTGAAGCAAGAACCTAATATAACAACCCAAGGACTGAAATTTGCATGTTATGTTATGAATTGATATTCATTGTGATTGTTTGTAAATCGTACATTATATAATCTTGATCAAAAGTTTAAGACCACTTGAAAATGGCCAGAAATCATACTTTGCATGGCTGGAAGTACAACTTCAAACTTGCTGCAACAAATCTTTTAAGCGATTAACAATAACCGTAACAGAGAACTACTGGAACTTTGATTATTGTTTGGGTGGGGAGTTCATGTATTGTTTGGGAGGTGTGGTTTCCAATCAGCTGGTTCAGTTTAAGTTTTGTTTCAATTATGTGCATGCTTATTTTAATTATATATATATATATATATATATATATATATATATATATATATATATATATATATATATATGTGTGTGTGTGTGTGTGTGTGTGTGTGTGTGTGTTTGTCAGGCCAAGATCAAATTAAAAAAGCTTCTTTGCTTAATTTGTTTTGATGCAACACTGGTTCACCCCTTAAGTTTGAGTCGTTTTTTTAAATGCTTGAATGATTTGATGGACAGATTTAAAAAGTCTGAACAAAAAAATAAATAAATCTGAAAATTGCAGGTACTGGAAAAAAAACTGAAAATATTGATCAAAACCACCTTATAAGGTTAAGAAAGTTTGGCTTCCCCACATAAAAAGAAAAGAAACAGTAATGAATCAAGACTTGGTTATCATTTAAATACTACATTAGATACAAAAAGACGTATGAGATGAACAATTTTTATTACAAACAAATAAAAGCACAAATATCCAATAACACAATTTTAAAATATAAAAGCACCAGCCCTAAATAAATTCTCAAAACTACTTTAAGTGGAATCAGCAAAGACCTTTTTTATTACTTCGTAAAACTAGAACACACCTGAAACTGGTTTAATAAAAGATTTAACACCAACTATCCAACTGAAAAATGCTCTAATGTAAAATTTGAGCATGACTCGGCTATTTGTCTTTGGTCTTTAATGTAAGGTGAATAAATCAAACCATTTGATTTTGGTTGATTATACATATAGATTTTAGAAGTCTGTTGTGATAACAGGAGTGACTCCATGAACGAGGAGCGTCGGGCCAAGATCCCTGCTCAATAAATCTATCTGGTGAAGGTAGGAATGATAAAAGCTCCTGTCTGCTGGGGGGTGGGGTAGGTACAGGAAGCGTACTGCTGGTTTAGGAGAGTCGTGTCTGTGGATCAGACTGTTGACGGCGCAGATAAACTCATCGGTCAAACGAGAAGTGTTGCTGGGGAAACGCTGGATGCAGTCTTCTTCCTCACCTTCTCGTCTCAGTCTCTTCTCATCATCCTGTAAATTCATATTACCTCTCCCCTTGGCTCCTTGTCTCTGCCAGTGTAGCGCCACCACCTGGTCCCAGGCAACCGCCTGCACCTGAGCCGATATCCGGAGCTCCTTCAGCATTCTCTGGATCTTCTGCTTCTCGTCTTTCTGCAGCCTGCAGCCGGCCTCCACGCACAGGAAGAGGCGAAGCCTCGCCTGGTTCCAGGCCCGGGTTTCGTGAAGCACGCAGGCTAGCTGCAGCAGGAACAGTGAGCAGATGTTGACGTACCCGTGACCATCAGGGTGCAGCAGATTTAAGGGCCACACATCCACAAACAGCCCCGCTGGGGGGCCTCCAAGCTTCTTTCTCAACCCCAAGACTTCCTCACGACTGAACTGGTTGAAGTATCGAGCCAGAGCCACATTCTTTCCCATTTTTACAGCATCAGCAATAATAGATACATACTCCACTTCCTTTAGATCTTTGGGTTCCTCTGCTCCCCTTACAGCAGGAAAAAATGGGGCGGGTTGCTGTCCAGGGTCAGTGGTTGAACAGGTTTTGTCCACATCAAGGCCTGTAGATGGAAGAATTTGACCAGAGAGGTTGTCTTCAGGGGCGCAATCATCATAGAAACCCAAGATGAGCGTGTTTGGCCTCATTCCACCTAGCAGCAACACCAGATTTGTTCATAAAAATCATTTCTAATCAACAGTGAATCACAGAACATCTTACCAAAGCCTGAGATGAAAAGCAGGTTCTGGACCCCGTGTCGGACCGACTCGGACAGAGTCAGGTTAACAAACGCTTTGATCTTCAGGTGATCCACTAAGCACAACCAGGAGTCGTAACAGCTCCGAAGTGGATCAGAAGGCAACCCATCTGCACAATCACACAAACAGAGTTAAATGCATATTTGCAGGTTTTAGTGCTTTAATTTGGGAAAAGTAGTATGTACTCCCATGTAAACAAAAAATATGTCTAATTTCATAATATTTTCTGATAAATTCACATGAATTCAGCCATATTATAAATCAGTTACAGCTGTTGGTCTACTATTGCTGATTGTTAATATTCTGGCCTGAGTGGGAAAATCTTTCGTGCCATCAAAACTTCATTATGTAAAAACAACGAGTAGTCAATAGCTTGTGTCTGTTATTGGTAAATTGTACAAAAGAGTCCACAGTGATATGGAGTTGTGATTTAAAGTGAACACATGGGTACAACTTACATATTTAGTTGAAAAATAGTAAATGGAAGTAAATAGAAAAAAACGTAAGCATCCATTTTTACTCTCAATACCTCAGGGAAGACAGATGGCCTCAAAACTCATCTGAGATCTGGAAAAGATCAGTTGGCGTTGGTCTTTCACTCAGATTAAATTAAACCAAACGTGTGACATCGTCCGTGGCTAGATAGAGTTTAAAAGTATCCAGACCCCCATCAATTTTTCACTTTTTGTTATATTGCAGTTGTTCGCTAAAAATCAATTTAATTTTTCTAGGTAATTTAGTCCAGTAATGCTGTCAGAATTGATTTTTACTCATGACAAAATAGCAGGATGTGATCAGTAAACAGTGTAAGGTAACCTGCATGCTCCACAGAAGCACAACTCGGCACAAAAATGGTGGTGTTGCTGGACTTTTTCAGTTTTATGGCTTTTTGTCAGACTCTGAACCAGGAAATGGTTGCAGGCAGAAAACTCCGGAGCAATCAGTGATTCCGCCACCTAACTAATCAGTGGCATGCCGAGCCGACCAGACTCCGCCTTGCCGGGTACTTCAACAGACCAGGGATGAAAAATGGGGGAGAATTTTGGAAAATATCGAACCGTGCCCTTGGAAACTGGTCAGGCTGAGCTGCACCGGTCCAAGTTACTCCAAGTAGTGATCATGGAAAAGTACCTTTAGAAAACATAATGGTCACGAAGAGGTATTTGTCATGATTCACTGAGATCAGTTCTCCACTCAATATCAGAAAAGGAGAAACATCTGGCTGGTGTTTGGTGCTCTCGTTTCCCGTGACAGTGCGCGTTTCCACATCAGGGGCACTTGGCCTAAGGATGATGGCTGACGGGAGGGGTGAGAGTTACTTTACCGTGTTTGTGCTTAAAAGCTAGCTTGTTATGCAAATTATCCATTACAGCTTTAATGCTTCAATCAATTACAGCAAGCAGTCCAGACTCTGAAGCAGCACAGCCACTCCAGACCATGTCACTACCAACACCATGCTGGACTGTGAGGATATTTTTCTACAATTCAGTGTTTTATAGCAGTTGCAACGGGACACAAAGCTTTTAAAATGTTCAGTCAACAGAATATTTTTTCTGTGAAATCTTTTTTTTTTTTTGGCAAATTAAAAGAAATGGGCCTTTGTGTTCCCTTTGGTCAGCAGAGGATTTAATCTGGGATACAGCAAAGCACAACCAGGACAGACGCATCGATTGGCAGAACCGTTATGGTGCGGTTTCAACAAGATTAAAATACCCATTTGTTTACTACTCCATTATGTGTTACAGATAGGAAATGGTTTTATTCTCGTTGTGACCCAACAGCTTGTGTGCAGATGCATGTCATAGGATGTTTAGCTACCGCCAGAAAGTTTGAAATGCTAATACAATTGACAGTTTCTAGTCAAGAATACAAAACCAAACTATTAGAACACCACATTACCTTATTGTGGAATCAAAGCATTCATAACAGTTGACACACACTCAAAGTTTAAGCACACAGATGAAAGCAGTTTAAACAATCCTTACCAAGAGATCCCAGCTTCACATGTCCCAGCACATAGAGGCCACTCTTCTTCAGGTCATTGATGAAAGTCATCAGACCCGTGCAGCTGCGAGGGTTTGCCACCATCAGCAGCACCTGCGGCCTCCAGAACTTCACGTGGTCTTTACGCACGTCCAACAGCAACAAGTACTTGCGTACCTGAGCAAACGAAGGATGAGTTTAAACACATCAAACACCACTAAAGCTAAACTATACGACTCGTGTACCTGATGGAAAATGAGAGCTTGGCTGATGTACCCCCAGTTGCTGATGGGTCCGAGGTAGTGTATAAGCATCAAGAGGATGAGCATGAAAGCCATGCTGGCAAAAGCATAAACGGAGCTGATCAGGAACATCATGACCAGGCAGCCCAAAAAACCCAGAGTGCACGTGTGCCACGTAAAACAACGAAAGGAGGGTCTAAAAATATAAAAAATAAAAATTAGTTGATTATTACTTCTGAAGAAAACAACTCTCTGCTCGTATCACACCTGAAATTGGGTGCAGAAGCCCATTCAAGAGCCAGACAGGCCAGATTTACAGCAGCATAAACCAATAGGAAGAAGATGGTTACGATGCCAGCAATGGTGTTCAATTTGCCAGCAAACAGCACCACCTAGTGGAAAGAAGGATTCACTTCAGGTCACTGATTTCTGTACAAAACTTCATCACAATAAACTCGTAAATCCCAAATAAGATATCTGAGCCAGAGGTGACATACATTATATAACAAAGCAAAAAATGTTGACTTCAAAAGTGAACATAAGAAAATAAGTGGTTTAAAATTACACTTCAAGCACAGACCTGCACAAGCAACCAGGAGATGAGCACGGAGACCCAGGGGTTCCCGCTTTGAGACGTCCTCTTTGCCAGGGTGAGGGCACCACCTGTCAAAAATGTATAACATTAAGAAAAGTCTGTTGCTGCTAATCTTTCAAAATCTAATCAACAGCTGAGTCATCCTGCACTCAGTTTTTTCTTTTGAGAAAGTCGGCCCCGGGAGCCATCTGTTGTCGACGGAGCCTTCCAGATTAAAGTGTCGTCGCGAGAAAAATGAGACAAAAATCACTAACAAGTGTCAGTTTCTCATTGGAGAAAGCAACCAGCTTGAACAGATGGAGGACTAATAAAATTCCAGTACAGCTTCATATAATCTAAGCTAACTTGCATATGCTACTAAGCCCTGATAATAACCCAACTAATTCTAGAGATTAAAATTAATTCTAGAAAAAGTTAAAAGGCCAAATCAAGTTTATATGCATTTTTTGTGCATATTTCATCTATTTGTGCGCATTTTGGGACACTTTATTAAAAACTGAACCTCTTTCTACAACATGTTATTAAACTTTGCAGAAGTCCATCACATTCATTCAACTAAACAAATATTTTTATTTAAATTTAGAAAACCAGACAGCAGGTCACATGCAAGAAACTCACCAAGCAAGTTATCTTTGGAGAGAGCGTAGAGGATCCTGGAGGCTCCGATTAGGTTGCTCATTGCAGCAGACACAGCGGAGGAGTAGATACCAACTGTCACCATAGGAGGCCATATGTTGATGGTTCCCAAGAAACTATAGTCTCTTTGGAGAAGGTAACTAGGTGTGATGATCAGGAAAAAATTAGATAAATATGTTAACCACTACATGCACGGTGCATTAAACCGCTTTACATCACTCTGACTGTTTTTGAATAGCTATAAAAGCTTTTGTGAGCTGGAGAGAGCCATGAGGTGCATCTGAGACGCGTCTCTAACCGGTCGCAGGTCCACGCAGACATCAAGCTTAGCAGGTTGTAGGTGATGTAAGTTGTAACAACGGCTGCAAGCGTTCCTCTGGGGATTGAGTAGCTGGGGTTTTTCAGATCGCCTAAAGGTCACAAAAGATTTTTCTTTAGCAAGACAAATTGCTGCATTAGGTTTGTTTCATCTTTTATTTTCCTGCTTCTTAAATGGGGGCTGGATCCTTTGATGTTTTCATCTACTGCTGCATCTCAAACATTGATCAGTAAATCCATTGGCCATTTCAGTCTTCTCGTTATTAGTAACCGGTGAGGGAATTTATTTGTGTTGTAAAAGGAACCAAGTGTTGTCTTCCAAAAGTGTTTATAGCCTTAAAAAGTGCAGGCTGGATAGCAGCTGACCCTTCTCACCCGGGAAACAGACTTTTCGAGCCGCTTCCCTCAGGCAGGAGGTTACGGTCCATCCAGACCAGAACCTCCCGCCATAAGAACAGCTTCTTTCCATCTGCCGTTAGACTTGTGAACAGCTTATAAATACACAACCATGTTCGTCTGCTGTACTTGACATAACGTCACGTTATCGGCCATGTTACCATTACCTGCCTTTTTTATAGCTGAATGTTTTATGCTAGTTTTATTATATTTTATTCTACTTATTCTATTTTTGAAATTTATTATTCATGTTATATGCAGCACATTAGTACCGAAGCAAGTTCCTAGTTTGTGAACTGCTTGTTCGCTGACAATGGCAATAAACCTTTTCTGATTCTGATTAAGAAAAATGTAATTCTAATGAAAGATTTGGTTAATAAGCTAGGGCATTACAATTCCCAAAGGGGTTCCCAAACTTGGGATCAGGACCTCACTCTGTAAAAACCCTACCGAGGGTTGTCGGATAATCCCTTCAAACTGAGTTCAAAGAATACTGGAAGAATTCATCTTTAAAACGCAAAAAGACATTTTAGACATTAAAAAGGCGGTAAAGGCTGTTATGTCCTTAAAGCTGCTAGGCAAGCTGGAAAACAAATTAGCTTAACATATTTTTTCACGCTTCTCAACGTTCTAACATAGTATAGCTATAAATATATTGTAGAGAAATAAATATTTTTAAATTGTGGTTCTCCTCCAATAACACGGCTCGGACCAAAAGCAACCCTTGAAGTGTCTCCCCGAACATAAATACACGATATGTCTGTCGCCAAACCGCAGCACTTCCCAGGGTCCTCCATTCATCATGCACTCATGCAACAGAACACTGGTGGTGTGAGAGGTTCGTGGCTCAATACATTCAGAGAAGGTGTGTGTGTGTGTGTTTGTGTGTGTGTCTGTGTGTGTGAGTGGGGGTGTCTTAAAACAGCAAACATTGAGACCCTCGAGCAGATGCCAGAAGTCAAATGAAGCATTTCAGAAAGTAACAAAGCACTGACAGTAAAACTAGACGTTGGACCTCCACACAGCCGACATTTACAACTTTGCTCATGTTTTGGAAAATGCTTCCAGGAGAACTTACTCTAAAACATCTCCCTGGAACATGCATTATGGAAAATGTCTCACATTTGTCTCATCTGTGCAAATGCATGAGCATTTGAGTCAGTGCTAAACTGAAATCCATCCATCCATTTTCTGTACCCGCTTGTGCACGCAGGGTCACGGGGGTCTGGTGCCCATCTCCTGCAGTCTTCGGGCAAACAGGCAGCTTACACCCTGAACAGGTTTCCAGCCCATCGCAAAGCAACAGAGAAACCAATCAGCCTGACAGTCCTGTTTTTGGACTGTGGGAGGAAGCCGGAGTACCCAGAGAGAACTCACACATGCACAGGGAGAACATGAAACCTCTTAAGCAGAAAGACTAATTCTGGATTAAAACCCGGGACGTTCTTGCTGCAAGACAACAGTGCTAATCACTGTTCCATTGTGCAGCCCGTAAAATTAAAATAAAAAAGGTTTGGTTGGTGGCGGTGGCGCGAGTTCCAGAAGGAAAAATGAAAAAACAACCATTGCAGAACTCACCTTTATGCTTTAAATAATTTGTGAGTATTATAGGATCCAGCCCCCTGAGTAAGAACAAGTCAGAACTCTGAAAATGAAGCAGATATTTAATACTTTACAAGTTGTACCTGACATATTGGAGCCTGCCATGATTCCAGTGCAGCCATTGAATAAAACAGCAAACACTCTAGAGAAGCTCATCATGGCCCCAGTGGTGTAGTCCACTGTGTAATCAGCTGGAGGAAACACAGATGAACAAAATAAGCCACACTAACATGCAAATATTTCATTTTATTCCCATTAACTTAACATAAATTTGCAATTGTTAAAAATCTGTTATGGCAATGATTTATTTTTCTTCTAAAAACCTCAAAAGTCCTTGATGTGTGTTTTTTTATGATAAAATCCAATTAAACAAGTGTTAGTGCAAGGTTCAGCACTTACAGAACAGGTTGCCCTCCAACGTGTGCAGCCAGAAGCCGGTGTAATTAGCTGTCCTCATGTTGTCGTCGTTCATTAGAGAAGTATCAGGTAGGACGACCACGGTGGGCTCCGCGATGAAAAAACTAATGAAGATCAAAGCCAAGACCGTCACGACTATGATGAAAATAATAAATGTGGCTTTAGCGTAGATGTTGGCTCCCACCTGAAACGAGACGTCAGTTCAATATAAAAATATTAGAATTATCAATATATCCAGCCACTAGGCCTTCATTTGTTTTAGAGTGACTGTGTGTTTTTCCTGGCGATAGGGGCAGTAGATACCTAAATCGTTGCAAGCAAGCAGTAGTTTTGGAGTAAGATCTGACCAACAGATGCCCATTAGGGTCAAAAAGCCCTGGGGAGTGCATACTTTAGCAAAATAACACCCTCATCACACTCCCTTTCATCACTGGCAACAAGAGGTAAATGTGTAAAACAATGACATTTAGGAATGACGAAAGTTTTGTAACCGTTAGTTACAAATCAGTAAATGCATTTTGTCCAAATGGGCTCCCATAGAAAGAAACATGGCATCTAATATGGCCTCGCCCAGAGACTTAGACCCGCTCCCATGTATTTTATACCTGATTTTTTATGGATATATGTTACAGAGCTGCCAATATTTTTCAATAACTGGGCAACATTTCATTAATTTTCAACAACTTTTTGATGGATAGTTCCAGAAATTAATGGTAAAAACTACACATCGTCACTTTCAGACTTAGAAAATTTGTACATTTCTCTGTAGTTCGAAAACCTGTGCTTTAAGTTTTAATGCAATCTTTAATCCAAAAGCATTTTTTTAATTTATTTTTTTATTTTGTAAAGCAGATTTGCAATTAACTGAAAATCTATACTTCTGTGGCATCTTCTAGTCATGCAGACAAACATATTTTGCTCGGCACAAAAACTAAAAAAGAAACAAGATTTGTTTAAAAAAACTTTTCAGTACTTCATAATTTTCCTCCTGATGTCAGTCAGTTTTGATTTTCCAGTTAGTTATAGATCAACAAATCATTTGACAGAAAAATGAATGTAAACGCAGATTAAATTTACTTTGTGTCCATCGATTGTCTTGCAATCTGTCAACTTGATTGATTTTATTGCTTTTTTTGTGAAGTATTTTGGGTGGATCTAATCTTTGACTAGGGCTGGGCGATATACTGGTATGGGTGAAGTCTCACCAGGCAGACGATGAAGCACAAAAACAGGAGGACAGTGCCATAAAGCAGAGACCACCAGTATCCGGATGGCAGTACCTGAAGAGGACCCGGAGCAGCTGCAGAGCGCTCTGGAAGTAAAAACAAGATTTTTAAACGTTCTAGGACACCTCACCTCATGTTTATGGACCTTACCTTCTGGTTCTCCAAAAGTAAACACGATAGCCTCGACCAAACCTAAAACATAGAGAGCACAGCCGCACACGTTGGCGAGGAAAAACATGATCCCAATGCTGCCACCGAACTCTGGACCCAGAGCTCGACTGATCATATCTGGAAATCAACATTAAGAAATAAGTTATAAAGTGGCTGCAAAATCTCACCTTTTAAGGTCATTTTGTCCAACAGCAGTAAAAGGGATACAGTAGGCGCCACCAGCATCCAAAGCCCCGTTTGTGGAGATGGCACAAATAGAAAGAACGGTCATGGTGATGATGAAGTAGGCCACCAGGAACATGGCGATGGAGTGGCACAGCCCTGCCTGGCCCACAACAAACCCTGCAAGAAACAAAAGGAAGGTTCAGTTAGAACACACACACACACACACACACACACACACACACACACACACACACACACACACACACACACACACACACACACACACACACACACACGAGGTTTGGATCCACAAATCTTTTTATTGTTTTTACTCAATTCCAATATAATCTTTAAACTTTAAAAATCTGCATTAGAAACCAAACTATTGTGTTGCATAAAAACAATTAAATGACAAATTAAGGAAACTGATCAAAAACTTTAATATAGCAAACTATTTATTGAGAGGTTTATTTTTCTATAAAATGAACAACTTGAATGATGATTGTAATGATTTTGACGGAACGAAGAATAAAAAAAGAACGGACGTTTGCACACCTGATAATTTCTGAAAACTTAAAAATACACTTTTTTCATCTTACTCACCAACCCGCAGGAACACGACCACGCTGAACATGGACAGCAGGGTCGGGATGATCACTCCGAACACCACTCCGAGCTTCCGGTTCGTGGAGCGTCCCGAAGCAGGCCCGGTACAGTCCGACACCGCGCTGGGCTCGGGACCGGCGCTGGTAGTCAGCCGGTAATGTAACAAGGGAGTTCTCTCTGACATTTTGCTCGATTTATTAAAAATAATAACTGATAACCTCGGACTTCCCGTTATAAAAGTTTGAAGGAGCTCAAATGTTCCTGCTGCTGCTGCTGTGATAAAATAATAAAACCACATCTGACATGATTTATCTGCACATTCACCTCCAAACGGCCCCTGTAGGAAACCTGGCTCACCTGCACGTAATGACTGACTGCTGATTTGAGACATGACGTCATTTCTGGTGTGTGGCTGAGCCAATCAGCTGCAGCATTGCAATCATATTTAAAATAAAAGCGTAATGCAAGAAGCAGACAAATGATGGGAAGGAAGGAACTGAGTCTATTGAGTATCTGCAGTAAAATTTCCGAAGGTTTATTTATTTAAAATATTTGTTTTTTTAATTTTAAAATGCAACATCTAAAGATTTACCTGCGAACAGCAGGATCAAACAGTGCAACATTAAACATAAGAGAAAATAAAAATTGAAGCATATAGCTGCTTTTCTTTATTGACAACATTTTTGTACATTTACAATATTCAAAGTCGGAACAATAAGTTTGTATTTGGATTTTTTTCTCCATTTTCTTCTTTCTGTAACTCTTGAATGTTTCACACCAGAAAACAAAAATCCCCATCAGACAAAGAAAACCTTGGTAAATTTAAATGCCTGTGTCAACTTAATTATTTCATTGTTCAAGGGCCGTGTGAATAAGTAATGCCCCCTTACCCAACCCTATTCAATTATGGATTAACTGCAGTTGATCTCAGTTTTGCTATCACCACACTAAGGTCTTATTAGTGCCAGACCTGCATCACTGACAACGTGAAGTAGGCTAAAAGACCTCAAGAAGCAACACAACATCCACTATAGGAACAAAACTCCTAAACAACATCTAAAGCACTGCAGGTCACGTTTGAAGTCAGTCCTGTCACATCTGCTGTACAACTGACCACTTCTTTCCACTGGATGTGAAGCAGCTGCAAAATGACCGCAAACTGTACTACATGTCATTTAGCCACCGTTTTAGGGCACGGGCTCCCTTCCACCGGTAGCCAAGTGTGACGTGGACACGAAGAGAAGCTATCATTACATTTTGAGTCAATTTTTTAGGCGCTATGCTTCCAAAACCTGGAGCTTTTCAGTGGCTGGCTCTAGGCTCTGGAACCGCCTGCCCTGAGATCTTCTCAAAGCATGGAGCAAAACATAAAACGTATTTATTTTAATAATGGTTGATTTGTGCATCTATTCGTTTTTATCTAGTTACTGTGGTCTTGTTGTCCGATCTCGTAGTTATTGTTTGTTCTCATCTTTGAACTCGTGGTGTTGTTTATATTTGTTGTTTTTGATGCCATAATCCTTAACATGTTTTACTTGGGCATGTTTAATTCATGGCTTTGTTTTCTTTAGCATTTTGAGTTGCATGACCAACAGTAAGGCGCTAAGCTGACCTTGTCCTTGAAAACACGTCCAACTCCGCAGTTCAGATCGAGCCAGACAGGAAGTCAAACATGAAAGCAGTGTAAAACACCTGGAAACTTTCAAAATAAAAGTGTGTAATTTCCTGTAAAACCCCGTAGCCGATGTAAACAGGACTGAAAATAAACCACAGACCTTTTTGGATCGATGCAGGTGGACTTCTGAAATCACGCGGTGTTGTAATTCTTCCGAGATTTTGTCACCTCACAGGTTGGAACGCTTTTTCTCCCATTTTGCATCAGAACTGCTCCCGGTTGGAAGGAAGTTTGCAGGTATAACATTGCTATCACACACCACTTTCATAGCCAGTGGAAAGAAGGGGTGACTGCATTTCAGAAAGAGATCAACAATTAAACATAGAGGCGGTAGTGGGATGGTTTGGAGCTGCTCTGGTGCTTCAGGTTCTGGTGACTATAATTTCTGCTATCAAGCAGAAAAAATATTGAAGTTGAATGTCTGGCCTTTGACCCTAAACCAGCTGTCAAATTCTCTGATGCAACTGCTGTGAGAAACTTAATATCTGTTACCAAAAAAAGCCTCACCCTTTAACTCTGACATTCAAAGAATCCTGACTTTTACTTTCATTCAACATCCTGAACATTTTCCATTTTTCTTTGACAGTTTCACTGTTTGCAAAACCTTTTTTTTTTTGTAAATGCATATTTACCAGCGAGGAAAGAAAATCTTGAGCCTTCCTGCTGTTTAACATCCACAGGCCTCCTCTTTTATTGACTCAGCGCTCCAGTCATAATAAGTTCAATCCCAGTGGGATAAGAGGGATCCTCCTTGTGGTCCTAAGACGTGCATCTGTCTCCCAGATTAACAATGAAGCGCTCCAGCTTGCCTGAAATCAGAAGAGTGTAGCTTCGTAGGACTGTCCTCAGACTACGAGTGCTTGGAGGAACACAAGAGAGCGACGGAGGCGGAACTGGTCCCTGTTGGTCCAAACAGTTACAATATTTGCAGATTAACACCAAGAAAAACTCCTTTGGAATCATTTTTTTTACATTAAAATAACTGTTTATGATGCAGAAAGGCTCAACCCCGATGCGACTTTTGAGAAGGACCGTGTCATTTGGAAAGTATGCGCTGATATCTACTTCTTGTCCTGAGGAAGGAAGGCTTTAGGTCAATCAAGATAACTGTTCAGCTATTCCCGAAAGCCACATATTTACGGGAAACCAGGATATCTCCACTACAGGAGAAGCTGATAACACCCGTCAACGTGCGTTTGATCCATATTTATGGATTTGGATCAGCACGACATGTTGCGAATCGTGCCACAGGAAAGATCAGTCAGCATGAATTTTCAAACATCCTCTCTAAACTCAAAAGCTAACTTCTGCGAGGATCTAAAGTTGCTGGAATGGAATTTTGAGGCAGTCTGCTTCTTACGCTCAGCTGGAGGTGTGTGAGTATGAGGAGGTGGTTCTGAATGTTGTTCTCCAGCCTCTGCAGAAGCACAGTCTCGCATCCTGCTTGTGCTGTTGTTCTCAGCGTCCTTACACCTTCAATGAGGAGCCTCAGTGATGCAACGACGTCTCCTTGCTTTTCTTTATCCTGCCGTTTGCACAGAAAGAAATGAGAATATTAGAAACTAAGCAAGAACCTGAGGAGGATATGATGCTATCATACTGATTTAGTTTCCCAAGTTGCAACGTGAAGCTGGGTGCAGGGTAACTGGAATGATGTGGAGAGAATCGTGGAGCTGACACACTCACTCTGTGGTGACACAGACAGAACAGGTGAACAGCAGACAGATTCAGCATCCCAGGTGCTGTCAGCCAAACATCTGCCTCAAAGCTGAAATAATCCTTACCAGTGCAATTTCCAGTTCTGGTCCTATATTTAAAGCCTTTCTGGCAGCTCTGCTGCACACAAAATCTTCTGGTTTTGTCTCGGTGTCCCACACCTCACAGGCCACCGCACAGAGCAGCAGAAGTCCTGGATGGACCCATGAGAACACACTGGAGCTCCACGTTTTGATTCAAGGGCATTAAAACACTTGGTGTACTCACTGCCCAAAGCCATGCCCCGTCCGGCTGCTCCTCCTGACTCCACATAAGTTCCATTAAGGGATGTGTCAGGTGGAAAATACTCTCTGCTGGAGTGCTTCATAAAAAAAGGAACTGCGTGTCCCTTTTTGCCTTCACACTGCTTGATTTCCCACCTTCTCACTCGGTAGTGGGAAGTGCGAGTGTTATCTGGTCTAAGAGGACAATGCTGTCCAACTTCACTGCTGCTCAGCTTGGCAGAATGTTACAGATTGAAAAATGGAGTTTAGTTGTTCAAACAGTTTTTTTGTTCTTTTCTGATTCTTGATCAGAACTTGTTGGGTTAATAATTTGTGATTGTGAAGGCACCCATTTACACAGCTTGTCATGTTCTGTGTCCTTTTGTTCCCCAGCCCCTCCAGTTCCCACACCAGGTTCTCCTTTTGTGTTTTCTAGCGCCCTCATGTGTCTTGTCTGCATCTCCTCATGTGTCTCCTGGTGTTCCCCGTTTGCCCTCTAGGTTTCCCCCCTCAGACATCCCTCTCCCAGGTCCTGTGCTCTCTTGGCCCCCTCTTAGCCACGCCCCTGTAGTTTCTTTCTGTAGTGTTTTCCTTTAGTGTCAGTTTCCCCTTAGAATATTAGTCATGGTTCATGCCTTCTGGTCTTTTGTTTTTTCTCATTTTTCCTTTGTTACAGCCTTTCATCATTTAGTGTGTTTTCCCCACCAGTGTTTTCTTCCTCCTCCTTGAGTTAGTAATTGTGTTCACCTGGTCCCTCTCCCCACACACCTGCAGTTCATCTCCCTCTCATCTTCCCAGTCTATTTAAGCCCTGTCTTGTCACTCTGTGTTTGTTGGTTCATTGTCAGTGTTGTTTTTGTCCGTCTCAAGTGTTCTCCTGAGCTTGCTCATGAAAGAGCTTCTGTTTTGCCTTTTTGTCAGCATTTGCTTTTGGATTTATGCCCAGCCTCCTAAATAAAGGATTTTTACTTCATATCCACTTCTGCCTCGTGTCATCCTGGGTTACTGCATTTTGGGTCCAAACCATCCTCTCAACGTGACACAGCTGTCATAAAGCTGGAGTATGTTTACCTTGTTGGTCAATGGAATCAGCTGTTAAAATACTAGTGTGTGTGTGTGTGTGTGTGTGTGTGTGTGTGTGTGTGTGTGTGTGTGTGTGTGTGTGTGTGTGTGTGTGTGTGTGTGTGTGTGTGCGTCTGCAGTATTTTAGGCATCACCAGTTCATTTGGTCTTAAAAAAAGATTTCGTTTTCTCATTTTTTCAAGTATATCCCTCTGGTGACAGGACAGGGTGACATCACTGCCCACGTGATTTCCCCCCCCCCCCCCCCCCATCCAGAGGTTCAATAGCCCTTGCAGCATACATGCGAGGGGAGCAAATTATCTTCAACCGGAAACATGCAATCATCCTTCAGGTTTTCACAGCCTGGAGGTCGCAGCTGGAGTGTGCGGTGACTCCAATCCCATTGTCATGTCGGGGAGTTAAGAGGGTGTAAAAAGCAGCTTGATAAGAGAGAACATGATGGGATGCAGCATCCATCCTCCTCCTTGTCAGACACCTGTTCAGAGGCTGACCCCTCTACACTCCCTCTCCTCCATCCTCACTTCCACCAGGCGGGTTCAGCGTGCCATGAAGACGCCTAATCCTTAAGTGTTGATGTATCCAGTCACCTAGGAGAGGCACGCAGAGAGAGAAAAGGCAAAACATGAAACATGTGTTTCTTTTTTAATTTTCTTCTCCATCTTGGCGTTTCTGCTGAACCAGACAGTTAATTAAGACGAATGCGCGCGGCGCCTCCGCAGATAACGAGCGGGGCGATTAGATCTCTGCACATCCAGGGAGAGGAAGAAGAAGAAGAGGAAGACAGCGGGCAGTATCGCTGACTGCACCCGCATTGCATCACGGACGCGACACCCGCCGGTACCCCCGCTGTCTCCCTCCCACCTCAACCGGAGCTGCTGAGGAGGCTGGAGCATCTTATCGCAGTTTTGTTGAGCTCTCCCCGATGTCGCTCCTCCAGGTCTCCAAAAGCACCCAACAACCGCCGCGCGCCGCAGCGGAGGCGCAGAGCCGGTAATTTACGCGTGTTTCTGACAACTTTGGCGCGGCTGTGCATGGATTGCGCATCACCAGCGGAGCAGCTTCTGGTACCTAGTGAGATCCCCCCCCCCCCCCCCCCCCCCCCCCCTAAGAGGAGTATAGTGAGCACCAGGGGGGGTCACCAGCTGCCAGACTTCATTATCTTTTAAGTGAGCGCTGCAACCTGTAGCTGTGCGCAATTTTATTTCAGTCCACATTCCGCCGAGGCGCAATGGAAGGACGCAGCTGACGGTTCCGAATCCCTACACCCGAGTAGGAGGCTCGACTTAAGGACAGAGAAGCAGCTCCGGGGGGGAATGGTGAGTACACAGCGTCCCGATAAACCACCTCTCTTATATTTTCTCTTGATATCTCCAAAACTTTGTCCGTGTCCGGCTCAAGGACAAACGCTGTATGGCTACAGCACACTTATCGGCATACGGGCATCATTTAGTGGTTGTTTCTCACAATTAGAGCATTTTCCTTGCAGTTTTCACAGTGACCTCTATAGAAACTCATGGCAGACACAGGTGGTTTTATCCTAATCGGACATATTCGTGATCTTTGTTGTTGTTTCAGATTATAAAATGTAAGAAATTTAGTTCTATTCTGGATGTAAAACTTTAAACATTGATTTTTTTTGTTTAATTTAGACCTTATGAAGTATTTTTGGCCCTTTTTTGTCCTAGAGCTCTCTTAAACCTGCAGGTAAAAGTCACCTGTGCACAAGTGGTCCTTTTTGAGCACTTCTGTAGAGGAAAGATATGGGTTAGTGTGCTGGTGCTGGAGGCTGCAGAGCTCCAGTTCCTCTTCAGGACCATGATAATGTACCCCTGCCTGTGAACTCCCTGATATAATGAAGCTGGTGACACTCATTACCATGAGTCAGGTGGGGCACAAGGCTGAGCTGCTGGCCCAAGATGCTCATGCACATGAAGTGCATGAATAATAGGATTAATGTGGATTTTTGCTTTCTTCTTGTGGCTGTGAGTTCTTTTAACATTCAATCATCTGCAGCCCAAATGGGATGTGTTTAATGTCTAAACCAGTCAGATGCCTTGATCCTGGATAAATCAGGTGTTTTCACCTGTAAAAATCAGGTCTTCTAAAGACACGCTGAATGAACATCAAGCTCTCCTGGCTTCAATCGACAAAGCAGAAACCCTTTAGAAGCATTTTTATCTTTTGGGTGCGAGGCCCATTTGGCACTACACTATTGAGGGCAGCAGATTTCACCACCAGTAACACTCCTGAAAAGCCACTCGTGAAAACCATGGAAATGTGTGCTTGCATTATGATAATACCTGTGTATCAATGGGGTAAAGGAAGTGATTTAGCCGTCATGGACACAAGCTCAGCTGAGAGCGAGCACTTTCCCGTATGAAGCTGTTTTTGGACACACTAAAATTGCACACTACTCCAAGTGGATTGTTGGCGAGCCCATGAGCAATATAACACCATATTTCTTGTAGAGTTTTATAATTTTGTGTTCTAAAAAGCAAAATATTACATTGAAAAGACAAGATGAGAGATTAAACCCAAGTCATTCACAAACTCATAAAAACACGTCAGCCTTTTAAACAGGTCCAAAACAATCAGGTCATCAAAAGGCTGGTGATAATGTTTTTGCCTGTGTGTAAATGCATAATGTGTGTTGGCAAAATATTGATTTTCACTAAAGTCCAATTAAGTAGTCACTGGATGTTCATCTACAAATGATTAACGTTTGGAGCCAAGTCCAAGATGGCTGCTGCAGTAAACTGACCCTGGAGACACAAACTAGCTCTGTCATATTTACAGAAATCTGGGTACAATTTCATGCAGTAGTAGCTAAAGTCTTTTTTGATTCACACTTCATGGGAAATCTTGCAAAATTGCATCAGATTGCAGTTAATGAAAACATTTTTAATTCACATTTGTAATAGTGCATCAATACAGGATGGTCTCTGTGATAAATGGTTGAATTGCATTATTTCCTTATTAGCAGTGAACTTGTTAAAAATATTTAGCCTGACGGAGAGAATTGAATTAAAATAAATAAAATATGGGACGTTCTGCTGCGATTTTCTTTTATCTTTCCGCTCGAGATCCTTGAAGTGTGAGTTGCTGTCATTCTGGCACAAGTTGCATCAACAAGAATGTCTTAAGTTTAAAAGGGACTTTGGATTTTCTTCATGTCTAACCCTCTCAGGCTCAAAATAAGCTTTGATAAAAGGACAAACAACTAAGTCCTTCAGGAGTACTTCTGAGTTAAAAAATGCTCATGAAATATGTACGTGGAGTAACCAGGTAGGTAGGTTTTAACATTGCAGATCTGCAACGGCTGCCTTCAGAGGGTTAAAGTCTTTTAAAAGGGTTTTAAAGTGTTTAATATTCACAGATGCTGCTGCATGAGTGGACGAATGGGAAGTGCAAGTATGAAAATACTTTATCTGTAAACAGAGTTAACAAAACATCCTCTGAAACGCTTTTAAGCAGGGGAGTCAAACTCATTTTCACTACCTCGATGTCTGCAGACACCGGCTGAAAAGTGTCCGCTCATCCGTTATGAAGTGAATAGTCAGGCTGATATAGGACTCCAGAGTGCGGCTCGACCACAAATCTGTAGTTTCAAAAAGTTTTACGTCACAAAGTTCGTTTAGTAATTTTTCACGTTGCTCTTCATTAACTTTGGGCATTTCAGTTTTTGTAAAATACCTGCAGCCAGGCACGACGTGGATCAAGGGTTTTGATCATGTCTTTAAAGCTGCTTTTCTCTACCATTTGAAAAGGAACCATATTTTTACGCAAATGGATTGTTACAGCTCTGGTAACATCAGTCCAGTGTTTGCTTTTTCTACGGTAAAGACAAACCTTTCAGATAGCTTGTGAGATAGACGTCTGCGTTAATTCCTGCTTTTTCTTTTTGGAGTTGTGGTCGGAACTTGGAGTCGGCAGCATCGCTTGGCATTGTTGATATTCAAGCACGAGTTTTGTCTTGAGGTGGTAAAAAAACAGCTCGTATTGCCTCCTTTTGCAGGAACCGCCACTCCACACACTTTAAAGATGACATTTTTCTGTTCTTTGACCGTTTAAACGGAACCAACGTCTTTGCTCCCGTCTTCTTTACGAGTTCTTCCCGTGCACACTCAGCCATGTTGCTCTGTCAAAGCTGTAAAATTTTGCGCTCCTCGATGACGTCACCAACAAGTGTAACCGATTAGCCAGTAGTGTGTAATTTTATATCATAAACCAAAATCATACCAGTTATGACAACTTTAGCACAACTGGTAGCAAACTCCACATACTTCCCATACGACAAAACAACAGGAGGGCTTTGCCTGGGGTTACCCGTTACCAGCCACCCTTTGCAAGTTTTTCACAGAGGACTTAGAACAAAAGACCATAACCAACACCCCCCCCCCCCCCAAAAAAAATGCTACATTACGTTATGGAGACGCTATGCGGACGACATACTAGAAATCATATCAAAAGGACAGACAGAGACACTAACAGAACACCTGAGCCACATAGATGACACAAACAACATAAAATGTACGTATGAGGAACAAATAGAAAGCACCATGAGGTTCATGCACATGAAAATAAGCAGATAAAAAGACGCGACCCTGAATATAAACACATACAGAAAACCAACACAGACCAATGTTTATTATGGACATCAGAACACCCTACTCTACATAAAATATCGGTGATCAGAACGTTATACCGCCAAACAAACATAATAACAGGGGAACGAGACCGTAAACAAGAGGATCAACATATACAAAACGCTGAAAAAACCTGCCAATATTTGACATGGGAAATAAACAAAGGTAAACAACAAACTACAACAGAAAAAAATAAGAACCAAAACAAAGAATCAGAAATCCAAAAAAAAAAGAACCAAAACCAGTGATAACTCTTCCTTACATCAAAGGCATAACAGAAAAAATAATAGCAACAATGAAAAACACAACATAAACACAACAAACCACACACAACTGTTAGACAAAGATTAGTACACCCAAAAGACAAGATATCAGCAGGACATAAGTGTGGAGTCATGTACTAAATCCTATGCATATTCTGCAATAAAACATACATAGGAGAAACTGGACACCAGCTTCACACACGAACAGTGGAACATAGAAAAGAGTGTGAGAAAGAAAGAAGCCGAAGACACACAAGAGCAGCAAAACATGAAGCAGAAAGTATAATAAAGAAATCAGCCGTAACAGATCGCTGCACAAGGGAAAACCATGTAATGGACTGGGAAGGAACAACAAAAATACAATATATGGATTAAGGAAGTCATAGCAGTAAGGAGGCATGGACACACAAGCATGAACAGAGACGAAAGGGTCTACACATTGGATCACGCATGGGACTGTGTCGTTGGTGAAGAGGGCACGGGCAGAAGAGGGCAACATCGTCCTCTGCTGCCCGCTGATAAAAGGATAAGGAAGTGATGCCACCAACATCGTCAAAACTCTGAAAAAGGCTACAATGGTGGTTGACATGGTAAAAATAACACTTTTGCCATGTTAAAAAAAGAACTGTAATGCAGTTGGATAAAACACACCGATCATACCGGTTATACCTGATAGCATTGATACCACGCATTACAAAGGGTAACCAACAAAAACTACTTTCAGGAGTAGGTGAGGCGGGCACAACAACAAAACACAACTCTAGAAAGGTGGGTGCATTACTAACAGCAAATACTAAACAGGAATAGCAAAATTAAACATAAAAGTCAATCAACCATAGCTCCTATGCTGAAGGTGCAGGGGGGTCAGCGGAGGTTGAAGGCAAAGGAGCAGGAACTCACAGATCAGAGGAGGATACCATCTGTAGGGAAAGGATGGATGTGTCGTAAACTCCAACTTCCAAGTTGCGCAGCTTTGCAACAGATAGAAACACACCCATTGACTATTGGCTATTAGCTGTGTATTATGCTTTATTGATGAAATCAGGCACTTAAACATCCAGTGGAAAGTCACAGTCCCCCCACCCCCCCACCCCCACCCCCCCGACGCTCCTCCCCTGCTAATACATTGACCTATCTAACATTTCACAGCACATCACTCGCATCAACCCGTTTCTTTTCAGGCTGCATGAAATGTCTATGTGCTTCAAGTTTAAGTCATCAGCACTATCCTGGTTCAGACAGTACAAGTACTTGTGCTGCTAAACCGTCACCTTCTTATGTTTAATTCATTTTCTCAAGAGTTTTGCTTTTGACAAAATCTGCTGTCAGACTTTGTATCTTTGACACATGCAATAAGATTTAGTGCAAGTAAATTTAAAAAAGTTAAAATTGGCTTTGAAAAAATAACCTTCTGGTGTTCTTGACAGAAAAGTGAGATGAAAAGCTCAAAATCCCCAAAAATTAAAGTCATATGATGACTCAAATCAGGAGATAAAATTAGCTCAGAACTGTCCTAGTCGCTGGTTTGACAGGTACAAAAACACCATCCGGTCCAGAAACAGAAACGAGAGAGCGATAGAGAGAGCGAGAGAGAGAGAGAGAGAGAGAGAGAGAGAGAGAGAGAGAGAGAGAGAGAGAGAGAGAGAGAGAGAGCAGCTGATTGAAAGTGAAGGGGGAGGCAGTGTTTCACCGTCAAAGTGCACCACCGCTGCTACTGGAGAAGCTCTGCAGCTGGTTGTACCTACCATCCTCTGGCACACACACTCTCACACGTGCACACACACACTGCACAGGCGATGGCAGCGAGCCGCGCCGAGTCCTCCACCACAGATTAATTAGCTGAAGCCCTGTGCTCCTCACACCCCTGGATTTTGATGTCCTAATGAGGAGATTGCGGCAATGGTGAAGGGCAAGGCAGAGGAGCGGACGCTCCAGTACCAGCAAACTTTGGTGAGTTCCAGATGATGCCAGAGACGCTCGCATTCACACGCGTTGGACATGTACGATAATTTAGGGGGGGGGGGGGGGGGGGTGTACAGCTGCTGCTGCTTTGTCCTGGAGAAAAACAGATCTCTGCTGATAATCTGTGAAATATCACTAATCAGATGTAAAATGCTTCAGAGCACCCCCCTACCTGCACACACACACACACACACACACACACACACACACACACACCTACACACACACACACACACACGCACACACGCACACACGCACACACACACACACACACACACACACATACACACACACACACACACACACACACACACACACACACACACACACACACACACACACACACACACACACACGCACACACAGGAGCATGCCTCCCTCTCCTCTCTCACTCACCTCCATCCACAGGTGCTGCATCACTCTGCCACTTCCAGCTCTCATAATTAATTCGTATCAGTTTAGATCTCATCAAAGCATGTCGGATTCATTTCTCCATCTTCCAGGCCTACATGCATTGCTGCCTTTGATCACTTTATGCACGGCCTAATGGGTCATTATTAAGATGTTAATATCCCTAAAAATGTGAGATTAGTGTGCTTTAATGTATTTCTCTCACATCCTGTCTCTTAAATCTCCTCCTTACCCCCCACCATCATCCCCTCAGCCCTTCCTGTTTGCCAAAGTGGCCTCTATGAACTAAAAGTGGAGTGTTTCTGAATATTAATTGCTCCGTGCACTAGTTTTCCCCCTCTCTTGCGTCAGCTCTTGGCTGACAGTGATGCCTCGGAGCACTTTGTCCATATCCAGATAAAGAGACAGACAGGGAGTCAAACCTGTGGATTCATGCATCATCTCACACATGCTTATGAGTTCTGTGATTGCAGGTGTGATGTTGTTTCTTTGGACACATTGTGGGACTTCAGGTCCATTGGTCCATCTGTTTTTTGGGCAGCTGCATGGCCCCTCAGTAACTCAGAGGTGTTTTTCCTTGTCTTGCCCGTGTGAAAATCGATGTCAGGCTGTGTCTCAGTTTAAAGATCAATAGCAATGTAAAATGGCAGTCAAAGCCTCTGAAGATTGGGATGTGCTGTCTTACACCCCCCGTTCCCAATTCACTTGACCATGTTGCTCTGGCTTTGTCATTAACTCTATGCATGCCAGTCTGCTCTCTAAATATAGATGTTTTTCTGCAGTTGCATGATGGGACAGTGTGTGTGTGTGTGTGTGTGTGTGTGTGTGTGTGTGTGTGTGTGTGTGTGTGTGTGTGTGTGTGTGTGTGTGTGTGTGTGCGTGCGTGTGTGTGTGTGTCTGTGTGTGTGTGTGTGTGTGTGTGTGTGTGTGTGTGTGTGTGTGTCTGTGTGTGTGCGTGTGTGTGTGTGTGTGTGTGTGTGTGTGTGTGTGTGTGTGTGTGTGTGTGTGTGTGTGTGTGTGTGTGTGTCTGTGCGTGTGTGTGCTGAGTATATTCATCAAATACCTTTCCTCGAGTTTTGCGTCTGGGTTTTCCTCTCCTAAATCACTTCAAGAAAAACATCATCAAATGCATTTGACCAAAGCTTCTTGAATTTATTTCAGCATAAAACTGAATGTTGACAAAAAAATAATAATCATTTGTGTTTTATTGTTTGCCATCGGCAAGATTCAGAAGCTTTTGTTGTTAATCTTTCAGTCAGGATTTTGACAGCAGAGGGGAAAAAAAAGAAGTCACTGCATAAACCGAGTGGCTGACTTGGAGCATTCTGAGACAAAATACAGCTCTATCTGACAAAGTTCTCCACGAGGAAGAAGCACAGAAATGTCACATGTTTGTTTACAACTTGCACTTGAAAGATGCTGTTCCCTTTTATATGTTTAAAACAGGTTCGTCCTGCAGCGGTTTTCACTAAAACAAGACGACACAGATGGAGTTTTACAAACCGTTTCTGCTACAGAAATGACTTATTTGAAGGACAGTTAACTTGTAGATATATTTTTATAGAGTCAGCCATAAAAAAAATAAGAACCACAATAATTAAGAAAACAACCAAATTAAGGTGGTATCATTCTGTTTGGCACAAGGCTCAGTTGCTGTCACATCTCTTAGGTACTTTATTGCTGTACTGAAAAATGCAAAAAACAACAACAACAAAAAAAACAACAATAGGTCAGACGATGAAAAGCCCAAATACAAACAGTTGGTGTTGCCGTCCGTTCGTCCGAAGCTTTTGCACAAGCTTCTCTCAGAGATGTAGGAGGTCTGGATGTGTCATAGGATTTGCCTGAGTGCATGTGTTTTCTCTTTTCAGGAGCGTGGGCACAATTCGGTTGAGTAAATGTGTGTGTGTTCGAGAGAGTGGGAGGGTGTGTTCTGCACCTACACATCTTCACCTGCCCACCCACCCACACACACACATATTACATACACACTCACAAACTGGTCTGAGAGCAGACACCAGTGACGGCAGGCTTGTCCTGCAGCAGGCACCCTGATGGTTTAGCTGCTGCAGGGATCAAAGTCTTGATCCACCTAGTGGAAACCACTCCCCGCTCCCCTTGGCTCTGCAGAAATCTGTACAGTAAACATGTCGATGGTTTGATAAATGCATGCATGTGTGTTTTACTGCACTGACATTCAATGCAGAACCCTGCAATGATTCCAATCTCACTTCTTATAGGTTGGATAAATGCTCAAAAGCACATTACTGCAACATTTTTGTTCGTAAAATATACCCACAGGGATAAAAATAAAGTGCTTACAGATGCATCATGGCGGAAGCGATACAGACACTGCATATTCTAATATAAACAAACTGTTAATGCACATTAGGCAGAAATCAGACACAGGCTGTCTCCTGATCAGCTAGCACTCTGTTTCCTGACAAATGGACGCACCAGTGAGATCTCTGGTGTGTATTGTGTCACAGACCAGTTGGGCTGGCAAATATGAGCATGCTGTTTGCAGTTTACTTCTTTCTCCATGAAGGATTTCTGGATGAGCTGACGTTGTTGTGGCTCACGTCGCCACACACCGAAACTGGCAGGAGAAATGTATTTGTGATAAGGAAAACATAAATGTTTTAACAGGATTTAAATCACACGTGCTGTCTCTATTTTTAGGTTTCCTGTCCTTGTCTCCGTCGCAGACACACACACACACACACACACACACACACACACACACACACACACACAAATACACACACGTCTAAAAATGCTGCCTCGTGGAGAGGAGGAGGAGGTGTGTGGGGGGTGGGGGTGGATGGGGGTCTCATTTCTGGGAGTCAGCACTCTGTTCTTGCACACAGAGGTTGGCCTGAGTCCAGTTCGGATTCAGTCACTTCCCGATAGTCTTATTACCTGCACAGCCACAGCAGAGGCTTGAGGGAAAAAAATAAATCACCTGACGACACAACTTTGTTCATAGACTGATTATCCAAGGGCGTCTTTATTGAAGCATCACAAATGGACAAGCCAAAATTAAAGTGTGCAGAGGGGCACTAAAAATAACAACTTTACAAAAACTTTAAGGACAAATAGTCTGAACAGAAAAGTTGTAAGAAAAAAGGTTGTCCTGTTATAGAGTATACCGTAAATCCTCTAATACAGGCCCGGGCCTGCATTTGACGCAAGCTCATCAAGCTCCAGGCCTTTATTGGAAGGAGGGCCAGAATTAGAGGCAGGTCTCAATTTCTATTTGAGCAAAATGAACTAATGGTTCGCTGGAGTTTTTGACAATTAAAATTGCGCCCACATTTTCAAAGTTAAACACATTTCTTTTAACAACGGTAGTTTCTGCTTCAGCCCTCTCCCCCCTCCCCCTGCGCAGCGGCCGCAAACTCACTGATGCGCCTGCAGCCTCTCAGTGTTCCTGCTGCTTATTTAATTTTCTGTTCCTCACTTCTGATTACCTTCAATGGTGTCTGTTTGTTGCAACCACCAGGTACAAAAACCAACTTGTTTTTATTTGACTATTTTTCTGTCCTGTCTGTTTATTATCTTCCTGCATCTCCTCTCAATCCTAAGAGGCAGGAGGCTCAGGAGGCAGATCTACCGACCGCAAAAACAGCGGAGCGTTCCCTGCTTGGCGGCCGCATCAGTGATCGGTGCGTCGGAGGACAAGGTGATGTGCCCCGCTCCACAGCAGCGAAACACATCAGGCGCAAATAAAAGACAGAAAACATTAAAGGAAATGAACCGACATGAACGATTACGTGTCAGTACCGACGCTCACAGCGCGTTGCCCCCCCGAGCGCAGGAGCTTGTCACCTGCTGACAGCAGGCTGCTGTCTTTTCCGAGGGCTACATCTTGCCGGTCATTATCACGTGACAGCGACTAGTCGACGACAGGCATAAAAAGTCACTATAGTGAAGTCGACTAGTTCATACAACCCCTGCTACTGCTCCCCAGAGTGTTCTGCAGCATAATCAGCACGTTCTCTTTGAACTTGATATCAAATTTTCGCCTCCTCTTCGTCTCCGCACGGCTAAAGTTACCCTCGCGGTCTATCACTGGCAAATCAAAAGTGAGACGATGACACAACCGCCCCCTTACTTGCTTGTTACCACATTCCACCCGGCCACAATAAGAGACCGGCCATTATTCACCTCCGCCGACCCCGGCACTGGCCAAAATTGGAGACCCGGCCTTTAATTGAATACCGGTCTGTATTAGAGGATTTACGGTGTGTATGTATGTATGTATGTATGTATATATGTATATATATATATATATATATATATATATATATATATATATATATATATATATAATATTTTTATTTATTTATTTTTTGGGGGGTTCAAATCAAAAATAAGAAGAAAGAAACTGTAATGTGTCACAAAACAGAACTTAAATTCAGAATATTTCTGAGACAAAGGAAAAAGAAGGACATTCTCACACTCAAAGGTTTGGCGTGTGGGATGTTTAGCAGCACCAACTGCAGCCAGCTCAATACCTCCCACCTTCCCTTGAACTGTGGTGGCCATGAAAAGAGTTAAAGTGCTGCTTTAGA